CCCCCCCCACACCCGTTTTCCCTTTTCCATTTTTAATCATTTTCTTAGTTCCAATGGTGGGTGAATTTCTCACCATGTAGTGTAAATACGAAAAATATTATGCAGCGCTGGTGTTTGCACCAAACTGCATTAGTTAACTTTGGTTAAATTGAGGTGACTATGTCATGACCCTAGTTCTCCCTCCGTGAACCGTCGTGACGGCACCTAGTCTCTACGACTAGGTAAGCCTAACAATTGCGGATAAAGGAACAAAACATGAAAGCTATCAACCAAAAAGTAAATTTTTAAACAAGGAAATGCGATGCCGCTCAGCATATACAATAATCACTTCCGAACAGTATGTAACTCTCCCAAAACCCGGAATGTCATAAGTCACAAGCTAAAGAAAGACACAGTACTCCCATACTCCAGAGTCTAATACAAGAAGAAAATACAGGAAGTCTTTAACTTGAGGAAGAGTAGATAGGTATTCCTAGGTCTGCGGACGCAACAGATATACCTCAAAATCTCTACAGTCGTATCGCCTCACTGGTAATGCAATTGATGTGAGGTACCTGGATCTGCACACGAAAAACATGTGCAGGAAAGGGCATGAGTACACCACAGCCGTACTCAGTAAGTGCCAAGCCTAACCTCGGTCGAGTAGTGACGAGAACAGGGCCCTACTGGTATGTGTGTATATATATATATAACAAAATAATACAGAATGAAATATCGCTGTAAAGATAAATACTAAAATTTAACGAGAATGAAATCACAGAAAAACAACAGCTCAGTACACAGAGATAACAACAGGGGATCTCCCGGGATACCTTCCCGTAGGCCCAAACGTAAATGTGCAGGGGGATTTTCCGGGATACCGTCCCGTAGTCCCAAACGTAAACGTGAAGGGGATCTTCCGGAACACCGTTCCGTAGTCCCAAAGTAGATATACAGTGCAGGGGGATCTCTCGGGATACCGTCCCGTAGTCCTAAACGTAAACGTGCAGGGGGATTCCCCGGAATACCGTTCCGTAGTCCTAAAGTAAATATGCAACTCAATAAACATAAACAAGAGTTTCAACAAGGAATTCTACAGTTTAGACTAAGTTCATATCAAGGAAGACATGTAATTTTCACTAAGCATGCTGCACAGAGTTCAGATAGGCAGTTAAGACAGTTAAGGCACGTAGGCATACTTTCCTAAGCTAAACAGGATAGTTACATATACTAGTGTTGCTCAATTAAAGGAAAACAAATATTTGCTTAATGAAAACGGGATTTTTCAACAAATAGCCCGTGTATGTACTCGTCACCTCACGTACACGACGCTCATATATCAAACAGTACCAAATCTTAAGGGGAGTTCCCCCACACAAGGTTAGGCAAGCCACTTACCTTGAACCAAGCTCAAATCAATCCGAAATCACGCTCTTGCCACGAGTATCCAACTCCGAGTGACCTAAATCTAATCAAATCAATTACATAACATATATATAGCTACAAGCAACTAATAATGAAATCAAAGCTAAGGCAAAAAATAGAAAAACGCCCAAAAATCCTCCCCGGGCCCACGTATTGGAATCGAGTAAAAGTCACAAAATATGAACACCCATTCACTCACGAGTCTAATCATACAAGAATTACTCGAATCCGACCTCAAATCGCCTTCCAAAACTCGAAATTTTATTCTATGAAGTTTCTACCATTTCGCCCCAAATTTCCAATTCAAATCCTTAATTGAATAAGGAAATTAACCATACACTAGTGGGAAATAGCCATAAATGAGTTAAGAATCGTTACCCACAAACTTCTTCTGAAAATCCCTCGAAATTTCGCCTCAATCTGAGCTCTCTAGGTCCAAAAATGGATAATGAAATCAAACCCTCGAATTTTCTCTTTTCTGCCAGTTAAACCGCACCTGTGGAAAAATCATCGCAGGTGCGAAAATCACTTAAAACAGCTGGGTCCACATCTACGGAACGGGGGCCGCATCCGCGTGTGTGCGCCTGCGGCTATTTGGTCACTTCTTCGGTCTTTTACCGCTTCTGTGGTCTTTCCACCGCATGTGCGGGCATCGCATATACGGAATGCACCTCGCACCTGCGACCCCCGGCACTCCTCCATTTTTCCTCTTCTGCGTTTCTCCCTTAAAACACCAGAAGTCTGAAGACTTCAGCAACAACATACATTTCAATCTTGATCCGTTAGGCACCCAAAACTCACCCGAGGCCCTCGGGACCTCAACCAAACATACCAACAAGTCCTAAAACACCATACGAGCTTAGTCGAGCCCTCAAATCACATCAAACAACGCAAAAATTACGAATCACCCTCCAATTCAAACCTAAAGAACTTAGAACTTCCAAATTCGACAACTGATGCCGAAACTAGCCAAACAACGTCTGTTTGACCCCAAATTTTGCACACAAGTCATATTCAACATTACGGACCTACTCCAACTTCCGGAATTGAATTTCGACCCCGATATCAAAAATTCCACTACCGGCCCAAAACTAAAAAAATTTGACTTTCGCCATTTCAGGCCTAAATAAGCTATGGACCTCCAAAACACAATCCGGACACGCCCCTAAGCCGAAAATCACCCAACGGAGCTAACGGAATCGACAGAATTCCATTATGGAGCCATCTTCACACTGTTCTGACTATGATTTAAATTCTAAGACTTAAGCTCTAATTTAGGGACTAAGTGTCCCAAAATACTCTGAAACTCAAAACGAATCACCCCGGCAAGTTACAATAGCAGAAAAAGATACGGGGGAAGCAGTTAATAGGGGATCGGGGCGTTAATTCTCAAAACGACCGGCCGGGTCGTTACATCCTCCCCCTCTTAAAACATTCGTTCGTCCTTGAACGAGCATAGAGACATACCTGAAGTGGTGAAAAGATGAGGATAACGGCTGCGCATATCCTGCTCGGTCTTCCAAGTCGCCTCCTCGACCGGCTGACCTCGTTACTGAACCTTTACTGATGCAATGTTCTTTGACCTCATCTTTTGAACCTGCCTGTCCAATATAGCCACTGGCTCCTCAACATAAGATAGATCCTTGTCCAACTGGACTGAGCTGAATTCCAACACGTGAGACGGATCACCATGATACCTTCGGAGCATCGAAACATGAAATACCGGATGAACTTATGCCAAGCTGAGAGGTAAGGCAAGCTCATAAGCAACCTCCCTAACACGCCGCAACACCTCAAAGGGACCAATAAACCTTGAGCTCAACTTGCCCCTCTTTCTGAATCTCAGAACGCCCTTCATAAGCGAAACCCGAAGCAAGACCCGCTCTCCAACCATAAATGAAACATTGCGAACCTTCCGGTCCGCATAACTCTTTCGTCTGGACTGGGCTGTGCAAAGTCTATCCTGAATCACCTTATCCTTCTCCAAAACGTCCTGTACGAGGTCTATGCCCAATAATCTAGCCTCGCCCGGCTCGAACCAACCCACTGGGGACCGACATCGTCTACCATACAGAGCATCGTACGGTGCCATCTGAATGCTGGACTGATAACTGTTATAGTAGGCAAACTCCGCAAGTGGCAAGAACTGATCCCAAGAACCTCCAAACTCCATCACACACGCACGGAGTATATCCTCAAGAATCTGAATAGTGCGCTCGAACTGTTCGTCCGTCTAGGGGTGAAATGCTGTGCTCAACCCCACCCGAGTACTCGACTCATGCTGTACGGCTCTCCAGAACCGTGATGTAAACTGCGTGCCTTGGTTAGAGATGATAGATACCGGCACACCATGAAGTCTGACAATCTCACGGATATAAACTCGAGCCAGCTGCTCGGAAGAATAGGTAGTCATCACCGGAAGGAAATGAGCCGACTTGGTCAGCCTATCTACAATCACCGAAACTGCATCAAACTTTCGCTGAGTCCATGGAAATCCAACAACGAAATCCATAGTGATCCGCTCCTATTTTCACTCCGGAATCTCTAACTTTTGAAGCAATCCACCCGGCCGCTGATGCTCATACTTCACCTGCTGGCAATTTAGGGACCGAGCAACATATTCCACTGTGTCTTTCTTCATTCTACGCCACTAATAATGCTGCCTCAAGTCCTGATACATCTTTGCGGCACCTGGATGAATAGAGTACTGCGAGCCATGAGCCTCCTGAAGAATCAACTCACGTAAACCATCTACATTAGGCACACATAGCCTGACTTGCATCCTCAAAGCACCATCATCCCCAATAGTAACCTCCTTAGAATCACCGTGCTGAACCGTGTTCTTAAGGACAAGCAGATAGGGGTCATCATACTAACGCTCCCTGATACGATCATAAAGAGAAGACCGAGAGACCACACAAGCCAACACTCGACTCGGCTCAGAAATATCGAATCTCACAAATTGGCTGGCTAAGGCCTGAACATCCAACGCCATGGGCCTCTTTGCTGCTGGTAGATAAGCCAAACTCCCCAAACTCTCTGCCCGGCGACTCAAAGCATCGGCCACTACATTGGCCTTCCCCGGGTGGTACAAAATAGTTATATGATAATCCTTAAGCAGCTCTAACTATCTCCTCTGACGCAAATTAAGATCCTTCTGTTTGAACAGATGCTGCAAACTCCGGTGATCAGTGTAGATCTCACAAGGGACACTTTACAAATAGTGCCTCCAAATCTTCAAGGCATGAACAATAGCAGCTAACTCAAGGTCGTGGACAGGATAGTTCTTTTCATGCACCTTCAGCTGTCTGGACGCATAGGCAATCATCCTACGGTCCTGCATCAACATCGTGCCGAGGCCAACTCGCGACGCATCACAATAGACTGTATAAGACCCCGAACCTGTAGGTAATATCAATACTGGGGCTGTAGTCAAAGCTGTCTTGAGCTTTTGAAAGCTCTCCTCACACTCTTCCGTCCACTTGAACGGAGCACCCTTTTGGGTCAGCCTGGTCATAGGTGCTGCAATAGATGAGAATCCCTCAAC